CAAATCCCTGTGACTGTGCGCACTTCTCCCACCTGGCGGCCCCAAAACCATAAACTGTCACAAGGATCTCGTCCCAAACACAGCCGATCGTTGGACAGTGGGCACCCAGGACTCTGCCATGAGGGTATTGAACATGCAACTGTCACCAGGATCGCGTACCTGTCAGGCCCGCTTCCTGTGGCAGTTGACCCAAGCAAGGAACATGATGATGCCGATGATGATGATGATGATGCTGACGACGATAAACACCCAAGGCGACCCAAACCGCGAACCACACCACACCATAGGTGGGCGGAGGGACTGAGAGCAGACCCAAACCCCGATCACAAGCGGGACTCCGAGCAGACCCAAATCCCGAACCACACCGCACCACAGGGGGCAGGGGGTAGGTGGGGGGAAGGGGTACCAACCATTGCGGGGGAGGGGGGGGAAGGACCACCCAACCGGGATCATATATACTTACATACCCTTAGAGCCCATCTCCTAAAAACAACCCAGGCCCAGGCACAGGGAAGCAGCCGCCAGTGGCTGGTGATGATTTGGGAGGGCGTCGCGCCTTGGCTCGGCCGGCTGGGTTCACACGGCTCCAACTGTACGTAACAGGAGGGATCCGACATAGCCTGGCCCTAAACCCCAGCTGAACCTCCAAACCCCCAAACCCGTAAAACCCGTCAAACACCCAAGACCTAAAATCCGCCCCAAAACCCTAAAGCCCTAAACGCTCAGGCTCTATCGTGGAGGCTGCTGAAGGCTCGGCCAAGCTGCCCAGGGTTTAGAGTTCAGGGCTTCAGAGTTTCAGGGTGGAGGTGTTGAAAGGTTGGATTTAGGGTTTAGGGTTTAGGGCTTCAGGGTTTAGGGTTTAGGGGTTTAGCGTTTAGGGGTTTAGGGGTAATCCCTGTTGTCCAGGGGTGTTGCACGCACAAGGAATAGATAATGGGATTTTCGGGGGGCGGGGGGTGGGACTGCCGCAGGTAGCACTGTGTCTGATACCTGTCGCCCTCAATCCCCAAGGAGTCTGGAGCCTCCAGACCTCAACCCCGAAGAACAAACCCCATAAACCCCAAACACCAAACCCCTAAACCCTATCTATCTATACACATATATATATATATAGACCCTAAACTACCCTCCTTTGTGTAACAAGGTCGCGCAGGTCACGCAAGGCTTCCGCCTGCACCTCGGCGAGGAGCTTCAACAGCTCAAGGCTTTGGGCTTCGGGTTGGCGCCTGGAAACTTGACACGGGACACTATGCTGTGCTGAAAGAAGTCGAGGGCCCAGGGTATTTCGGGCTAATTTCTTGGAAGAAGGGGGGACGCAGCAGGAGTATGCACGAACTTGGCGATCGAATGAGGTTAAGCACGCGCGAGGGATCCTAGTTGCCCAAGTTCGGGCCCGGGCCTTCAGCTTAACACCGTGCTTATAACTCGGGGGGTACCATATATATATATATACAAAAATAATATATGATAGAATATATATATATATGTATATATATATTATATATATATATGTATATATATTACACATGTATACATAGATGCCCGGATGGACATAAGATAACGAGAGGGAGCTGCAGCCAGAAAACATAAACGAGTCAAGCAGATGTAGTTGCATTCTTGCATATCCGTGCATGTGCATACATGTGCATACATATATGTGCGCACTGAGACAAGTTGCATGTACGTATGTGCTTGTGAGTACATGCACACTGCACGCACGCATGATTCAAGTGTGATATATTTGTCTTTTTTACATGTTATATACTTACACGCATGCATATGTCAGACATATGTACGCACACCCCAACAAAGAGCGCATCCACACTCACTAGCAGTAGCAGCACTCAAACTGCGAGTGGCAAACCTGTGAATGCTCCATGTACCGTGCATGTGTGCAACTGTTAAAGATGTATGTCAACACGCACACATGCACATGCCTCTCCGGTATCTTTGACATTCGGGCACCGTTTACATGTATGGTTTATGAAGGCTGTAATGTCCCGCATTATTAAAGGACTGTCCCATCTCCCGGATTCACAACTTGAAGTACCGGCCCCCGAGCATGGTACAACCAATGAACGTCGATTTGGCGGAGCAAAGCGATGTAGTGTCAACCTGTACGACACACGAAAAGCAAAACAAACATATACATGTATATAATATGCATGTGTATATATATATATATACAACGGCAATCTTTCACCTCACTGTATGCTCTTCATATCAAGTAATGTACAATGTCACGCCACAGTGCCACCGATGTCCAGCTTGTAGAGGTCAGACAACATTCCTCGGAAGCTGACGGTTTAGGGCCTAGGGTTCAGGGTTTGGGGTTTAAGATTCAGGGAGCAAGGTCTCGCACTAAGCATGGGGAGTTCTGAATCCAAGATCACCGAACACCGAAACACTGCCCTATCCAAGGTTCGACAGCTTGAATGCATAAGAAGAAGACTTCTACTTCCTACTCCTGCTACTGCTTCTGCTGCTACCACTGCTACTCTGCTGCTGCTACCTGCCCCCGCTGCTCCTGCTGCTACTGCTGACACTGCTACTACTGCTACTGATGCTACCACTGCTACCACTGCCACCACCGCTACCACTGCTACCTGCTACTGCTGGCTCGTCAAGGCATGCATAAGCACAAGTACACAACTTGCGGAGGCGTCTCTATAAGATGCATCAGGTCACCACTTGTTTCTGGCAGGAGTCTTCGCCTACAGCACTCTCCTCCACACGGAGACTACAAGCGAATCACGGGCTGCCTGCTGGACGTACCAACAGAGAGGTGCACACAGCATGCTAAAACAAACTGCATCAAAAGCTTCGACGGCAGTCAGCTCCTCCTGCGCTTCTTGCACAGCATGACCGCTTGCTGCGTCGCTAAAAATAACAGGAGCTCTGTGCTAAATCGCAAAAGCCTCAAGCGAATCGCTTTCTGTGGGCACATCAGCTTCGATCGTCTCCTCGTTGAATTCCGTGGCTTCCTGCAGGGCTCCGACTGCTTGAGTGGCGCTCGGCTCTTTGCTGCTCTCAACCACCACGAGAAGCTGAGCGTCCTGAGTTGACGTAGACAGGTTTGACCTGGACCTGATCAATGTCTTCTCCTTCGGAGATTCTCGAGCAAGTTCAAGCTCCCTGGCCCTCTGCTCAGCCCTCTCGCGACGGATCTCTCTACTGACCACCACGTAGCGACCGCCCATCCACCACCAGACCACGAACACAGCGAGTACCATCACAAGCAAAGCCGTGGCCACGACGCCTCCCACGACACTCCTGTCATAGAGAAAAGAAAGTGCAAGGGAAAGGCTGGGTAAAGCAAAGAAAGTACTGGGCACATAAATAGCAGGAAACATTCGCCAGCAGGAAGCGTAGAAGCCAAGTATGCAAGCTGCTTTCACAGGTAGAGCACGAAGAAGTGGCACTGGGAACCACAAAAGAAATCCGAAGATGTTGAAGAACAGATGGCATAAGGCAATTTGCAAAGTATCGGGCTTCAGTACAGCAAGCGCCGCCATGAGGGACGTACATGTTGTTCCGATATTTGCACCGATGGTTATGGGCAGCATTTTCTGGACCGACAACACCTGCATGGCACACAGAGGAATCAAAGTAGAGGTCGTCACGCTGCTCGATTGTACGACTACCGTGACAGTAATCCCGAGGACCACAGCAAGATAGTCGTTCGTCTTGGAAGCACGTCTCATCATCTTTGTGGCCCAGCCTGTCAGGAGTGCATTCAGCACCTTGACGAGGCAGAGCAGCGATCCTGTAATAACCACAAAGGATAGAACGAGCCCACAGGCACCTCCAACAACATCACCGACGCGGGCAAAAACACCAGAATCAAGGGTACGAGCATTTTCAATCGAGATCGCGTAGAATTTGCCAGCTTCTAAATAACAGTCCGTGGATTGTGCGCAGCCATGTGGGAAGCTCATTACATGACTGCACTGTGTAAGAGCGGCAAAGCCATCCAAATCTAACTTCTTCCAAGCACTCTGCATCGAAGTCGACACGCAGAAATACTCAGCGCAGTTCAGCCGCGCTGAGCACAAGCCGGTGTCTACTGAGGCAGGCACTTCTTGAGGTGCTGGTGATCCCAGAGACACGGCTTTCACAACATCTTTGTTTGCAACCAATACATAATCTGTCAGCGGACCCACGATCCACTTTGTCGGGGAGCTAAAGGTGACATCAAGAGCCCCTGTGCCGCCTGTGCCCATTGCAGCTTCCGTGACTGCTTTCGAGACGAGGTACAACGGTCCACCATCACCACGAATGAATCCCACGAGTATCTCCGTCGGTAGCAGAATAAGAACTGTAAGCAAGTTGAACATTTCATGCACCGTGGCTCCTGCAAAGGCATGCTCCAGCTCGGTCGGACTAGCAGCGTGTACAATGGACACAATTGTGTTGGTTATTGATGTACCTACATTCGCGCCCATGATCACTGGAATGGCAGCACGTACAGTCATCTGGCCGGCCCCAACCAGGCCTACAACAATAGAGGTGCTTGTCGACGAGGACTGCACAAGAGCTGTGGCCATGATGCCAATCATTAGGCCATTTAAGGGATTTCCTGCAGAGGCAAAGAGTTCAGCAGCTCCCTTGCCACCCAATACCACCATCGCTCTTCCCATCAGGTCGAGCCCCACCAGAAAGAAATACAAGGCGACCAGCACTGCAATCATGCGTAGGATGAGGGACCAGATCGCCCGACCCGTGCATGCCAGTGTTTGGGAGTCTGAAGACACGGCCACAACTGCAAGCATGCTCAAGCGACTCCGAATCCACGATGAACGAAGAAGCAGCTGAAGAAAGACTTGGCGGCAGAAAGGGCTGTGGACCGGAATTTTGCCGTCTTGCGGCTACCAGTCTTTAAAAGTTAATGCTTTGGAACTAGATGCTGACGCCTTCGGGCGCGCGCCTTCGAGTTAAAGGCTGCAGCCGGGGATTGATCTTCAGCGCACCGTGAGGAGAATACACACACTCAGTGTGTGTGTGTGTGTGTGTATATATGTATATACAGACATATATCTATATATATATACATAAATATCTGTCTGTCTATCTATCTATCTATCTATCTATCTGTCCATTCTATCTATCTGTCGGTCTATCTATCTACCTACCTACCTATCTATCTATCTATGTATCTATCTCTCTAATTAATCTATCGATCTAACTAGCTATCCATCTACCGATCTTGTATCTATATATTTTATGCAATTACACACATTATATAGTAAGTGAGACTGTACATACAGAACACATCATATGTCATGTACTTTGTGTACGGCCTTGACTATTGTTTATGTGTATATATATATGTATATATATATATAACAGCTTATCTAACAGATGGCAAGCACCATGATACTCTCTCTGACTCTCTCTCTCTCTCTCTATATATATACGTATATAAATATATATATATATATATGTATTTGTATATACACAATATAAGAGAACAGTTTGTGAGTATATATATATCCAATATTCTACATATATGTATGTATGTATGGATGGATGGATGGATGGATGGATGCATGTATGTATGTGCGTATGTATGCATGTACTTATGTATACTTATATGTATGCATGTATGTATGTATGTATGTATGTGTGTGTATGTATGTATGTATGTATGTATGTATGGAGAAATGTATGTATGTATGTATGGATGGATACATGTATGTATGTATGTTTGTATGTATGTATGTATGTGTCTGTCTGTATTATGTATGTATGTATGTAGGTAGGTATGTATTTATGTATGTATTAATGTAGTAATGTAACGTAATGTAATGTAATGCAATGTGATGTAATGTAATGTAGTGTACTGTATGTAAGCATGTAAGTATGCAAGTATGCAAGCGCGTAAGTAAGTAAGCAAGTATGTATGTATGTATGTATGTATGTATGTCTTCATGTAGTTATGTAATGTGATGTAATGCGATGTAATGTGATGTAATGTGATGTAATGTAATGTAATGTATGTAAGTATGCAAGTATGCAAGTAAGTAAGTAAGTATGTATGTATGAAAGACATGACATGAAATGTACCCGATATGGCAACTACCATATTTTCTGTAACATACATTGTCTAAGATGTATGTAGCATATACTATACAAACTCAACATGTATGTATACACATATATACATATATATATATGTATATATAAGATATAACACATCAAGTGTGAAAATATGATGAAAATACTCTGTATATGAATACATACATTCGCATATACATATATATATATGTATGAATGATTGTTATCATATCAATACTATGCTTGATGACACAGTATAACTACCGTACTATAAACACACACATGCACACACACACATATATATATATATATGTATATAGACGTATACATAATTAATTAGTGTATATATATAGTTGTGTGAACAGGACATGCAGTAACGACAACAAACTACATTGTATTGTCTATAGCATACCGTATATAAGGTATGACTTATAGTACATAGTATTAGGATATGTTATGTGTGGTACATAACAACCAGTCTATATAGTGTGGATAATCACTAAATCATGCAGCAGAGAATATACAGATGTATATACATATGTGTATATTATACTATATACATCTATACTCTAGGAAGAACAATGATATCAGCAATCATGGTACTAACATACTTCATCAAAGTAATAATAAAGAACATCAAAAAAGACTATATCTAAACATGCAGCAGTATAATCATGCGCTTTTATTATTATCATTTACTTGGTAATGATCTGGGCTTCTATATTAAATCCTCCCAGGATGCGGGACCATTCCGATGCATCGTCTGCCATGGCAGCGCACAGCTCTGCGGGCAGCGCTTGGAAGGCCGGCGAGGAGCCCTCCTGACCCCCCATCAACCATTTCAGGGTTTAGGGTCTGGGGTTTAGGTGTTAACGGTTTAGGGTTTAGGGTTAAGAGGTTTAGGTTTTCTTTGGGGGTCTACTTGAACCAGAAACCCCTAAACGCTAAGTCCTGAACCCCCAAGCCCTATAAACCCTAGTCCCGACTTGGAGCCCCTTTTGAGTCGGACAGCTAGGGTGGGTTCGTTTAGGGTTTCGGGTTAGGGGTGTGTAGGATTATGGATTTAGAGCTAAAGGTTTCGAGTTTAGGGGTATGGTTTAACGGTTTATGGGTTAAGGGTTTAAGGTTAAGGGTTCAAGGGTTTAGGGTTTGGGGTTAAGTTGTATACCTATGGGGCTTAGGTCTTCAGGTTATGGGCCTGGGCTCGTTTCGGGGAACTTAACATAATTTACAGTACGTAAGAGGAACCCATAATACCCAAGAAGCAAGAGGTGGGGGGCAGGACAGGCACCCGGGAACACTCGCCGCACTGGGTCAAAAAGAGTCGCACCCCAAAATTTCCGCGAGACTGCCTCGCGAGCACCAGCTTTGAAGTTGGAAACACAAGTAGCATCAGAAAACATGCACAGCACTGCGGCGCGAACACGATTTCCGGTGAGAAAACAACACGTGCCCCAAAATATGCGCGACGGTATCAAGGGCTGTCGAGGGCGCACCATCGCCGACTTTGGCAAAATCCAGAACCCCTTCGAGACACGACCCCAAGGAACCGAGTAGTAGTGTGGCACTTCAACCGGATTGAACTGACGAGTAAGCATGTGGCTGCGGCTGTGCACTGCACCACAGAGGCAGACATGGCAACGCGGCGTGAATAATCCACGTACTCTCAACGGGAGAACAACGCAGTGTTACCACGCTGCCTGCGGAATCGTATGCCCTCAACCCTCACTAAACCCTCGCTTCTGCCTTACTGAACCCTAAACCCTCGGCCCCAAACTGTCCTTGTTATGAAAGGTTGGATTCAGTTCCTGGACAGATTCAGCTGACCCCGAGGATGGTTCGTCGTAAGGGTGCTAGCCTGGTTCGACTCGATCTTAGCTCTAACAAGGCGGTTTAGGGTTTAGGGCTGCAGGGTTTGGATTTTCGAGGCGGGTTTTGGGCTGAGAGGCATCCAGGCTGAGTCTGAGGATACTTTGAACGAAGACCCTGCGCCCAAAACTCCAAACACGAAGCCCCAAATCCCCAAACCCTAAGCCTTAAGCCTTAGCCCTGGACCCTAAATGCTTCATCCCTAAACCCCATTCCGGAGTGCAGGGCAGGACTTACCAAGGCGACGGAAGCCTGAGCCAAAACCTGGATGAAGCCTGTGTCTAAGCATACCTATATAATAGGGTCTCCATTGTAAATCCTTTTTTTTGGGGTTGCCTTCTAGGATCCTACGCCAAACATGTCCTTTTTGGGGCTGCCGTTTAGGATCCTAAATATATGTTGGCAAGACCAAAAAAGGAACTACAACGGAGACTCTACAAATACCAAAGGGAACTGCAAGCCCTCGGTAAGAACCGGCTCCTCCATCTCTGTGCCCACTGCTCTGCGAGCCGGGAGTACCAGCGGAATTCCCTTCCGAGGGCTTTGGGCTGCTCGAGTTCGAAGGGTTTAGAGTTTAGGGGTTAGGGTTTAGGGGTTAGGGTTTAGGGCTTTAAGGGTTCAGGGGTTTAGGGGATAGGGGTTAGGGTTTTAGGGTTTTTAGGGTGTAGGGCTTTAGGGGGTAGGGCTTTAGGGTTTTAGGGTTTAGGGTTGAGGGGTTTAGGGGCTTGGGGCTATTCTAGAGGCATCTTTTCCCTCCAGGATGTTTGCACAAACCTTGTTTGGTGACGTCGGCCTGCGCGGAAGTGGTGCCCGTACCCCCACAAACAGCAGTTGCTCAGAGTGAAGAAGTCCAAGTTGGCGTATATGCCATTTCACTACTTCGGGACTAAGTGTAAGATACGGGCCTTTGTAATTGGAATGTTTTCTTGTCTCGCAGGAGGGTATATCATGGCATAATTCAGTTTTCAGTATCAGTAGAATGGGACGAAATGGGGATCTCATTAATAGTTCTTCGTTCACCAATGGTAGATCTCGGATCCTTTGGATTCTTGGCAGGGCTTGGGGTGCGGCTGGGAGTTTGCACGATTCGGGCTTTCGGCCTGGACCTTTGACCTCTTACCCGAATTTAGAAACCCTACAAGCCCTAAACCCCTGAAGCCGTAAACCCTAAACCCAAAGCATATACGACACCTTCCGTAAATTTTGCTCTTCAACGGCTTCATTATTGAGGAACTGCGACTCTGCTACTAAGGGTGTTTGACGCAATCTATCCCCAAACTGAAGCATCCACACTATAAGGCCTCCTAAGCCTGATATATACGCCCTAAACACTAAACCCTTCGAGGGAGTCTCCTGTAGAACGGACGACGTCCACCGAGCCAGCAAGACGAACCCCAGCGCCACGACGGTTTAGAGTTTAAGGCTTTAGAGGTGAGGGATGGTGGAATTTGAAGGTTTTGGTAGTTTATGCGCTTTGGGGTTTAGTGCCGCTTGGGATCCGCAATATGCAGGGCTTCGAGCTTAGAGCTTGTGTGCTGAATATGAAGGGTTAGGATTCAAATGTTGTGTTTGGGGTTAAGAAATGCGCTTGAAGTAGGGCTTGTACTGCCAGTACTCTACAATACTATGGGACGCTGGATACACTCTTCTATATATTTCACAGCAGACTGAGGGAAGGAATGGGGAAATGTGCGCCTGCCCAGCCAGGAGTGCTGCTGCAGAAGCCTTACGGAGATGGGCGCTGCGGGTTCGAAAGGGCCTATGATTTCAGGCAAGCTAAAGACTAGCGGGTTTTGGGCTTAGGGGTTGAGAGTTTAGGGGTTTAGGGTTTAGGGTTTGGGGGTTG